TAGTTCAGATAGTTACAGGAAAGATTTGTGTGCAGTTCTAATTATTCATGTATTCATTTGAAAGCCTTTCATCCCCCCCCCATAGTTTATATGTATTTAATTTTAGAATTCCTAAAACCATCCCACATGGTAAAAAAATGAGAAGGATCCAGTGATTTCCTTAAACTGTTGTTTTTGTCAATGAGATAGATCCTCCACCAGCCCAGCAAATAGCTAAGAGCACATCAGAAATTCCTTTAAGACAAACTCCCCTAATAACAAAGGTTCGTGGTTCCACAGGTTCATTCTAAATACAGACTCAAGGGCTCTGAAAGTCCTTGCCCAGAAAAGAAAAACAGTGCATGAGAAATAAGCTATACTTCAGGAAATGTAACAGGAAAGTATCTGCCCTAACAATAATTTCAACTAATAAAATATTTATTCAAAGTTTTTGCTCCCTCCTTTTCATTTCCAAAGTCAACAAACGTCTCAGGGACCATCGAAGCTATGTGAGGACACTGGACACATGAGCAGCAGTAAGAGTTAAAGTCATTCGTCTGAAATCTCTGCCCTAGGACTCTGAAATGTACCGTGAAGTTAGGACCGTGAACCGGGATAGTTAGGGACTTTGGGTGAAATTTACCCTTCTTAGTCAGCCCAGTCTGATAATTAAGTCATATGTAATCATCAACCAAGCCTGAGTCTGCACTAATTCGATAAGCAGCTCTTGGTCACACACTGTTCCTTACTTCAGTGTTACACGTAGTACTTTGGGGAACTAGGCGAATGACTGCAAGTTATATACGCTATAATCATAAATGTAAGATGTTGCTCTCTTAAGCTGCCTCCATGGCACCCAGCCCCAGTAGGTTGCCAAGTTGTATTTTTCTTTCTTCTGCATCAGAGCCCACCACATCTGGCCACCTGTGCCCCGGGGCACCCCCACAGCTTCTCCCACCTGAGCTGCTCCGGTCACCCCTGGTGCTGCCCTTTAAAATCTCCCATCAGAAAGACCACTTTATTTTTTTTTTTAAGATTTTATTTCTTTATTTGTCAGAGAGAGAGAGAGAGAGCAAGAGAGCGTGCGAGCACAAGAAGGGGGAAGGGGCAGAGGGAGAGGGAGAAGCAGACTCCCTGCTAAGCAAGGACCCCAGTGCATGACTCAATCCCAGGACCCTGGGATCATGACCTGAACCAAAGGCAGATGCTTAACTGACTGAGCCACCCAGGCATCCCCAGAAGGACCACTTTAAAACACAGGTCTGATCGCATCCCCTCTCCCGGCCAGAGCCCTTTCTGCGGCCTCCGGAGCCCTGTGTGAAGTGGCTCTGGACGCCTCTCCACACTGCCCCACCCCCACGCCCCCCGCCCCTGCTCCCTCCGTCATTCCATGCCAGCCCTGCTGGCCTCCTTGCAGCTTCTGGACCCCACCAGGCCCACTCCCACCACAGGGCCCTTGCACGGCTCCTCCCTTCACATGCATACCCGCATGTCTCAGGCCTCTGCTGAAACGCCCTCTCAGCAGACAGGCTTCTCTGCCCATCTGATCTTGAAGAATAGCCCACTGCCCTCCACGTTGCTCTCATCCCCTCGCCTTGATTATTTTTCAGTCTGTTTTGTGTGGTGGTCTTCCTTTGTGTTTCTGTTAATGACCGTCTCTCCACATTAGAAAGGGAGCTCCGTGCAGTCAGGGGCTCACTGCTGCATCTCTGCACAGACAGTGGTGTCCACACTGAGCAGACCCTCTGTAAATCCTTGTCGAGCTGCAAAGATTGCTTGGAGGAATGGTAAAGTAAAAGTCTTCCGACTTTAGCGTGACTGTTTGAAACAGCAACAGGCAAAGATTGTGATCATTCAGGGGTGCCAAGTGCAACCTCATGATATGAGGACAAAAGGGAGATAAGGAGAGGAGAGTGGATGCTGCTGTTTGGAACAGTTTTGCAAGCGTGGCTTCTTGAGCCTGACATCTAGAAAAGTCTCCAACAGTGAAGGTTTACCGGTCTCGCCAGGTAATAATCCTTCAGTCACAGAGTTATTTGCAGATGGCAACAAGGGATCATAGTGATTCTATAATTCACCGAAAGTGGACGCCAGCATGCGGGGGCAGCTCTGCTCCTTAAAGTCATCCAGGAGCTCGGGCTCCTTCTGGCTCTTTCGCTGCTCTTGTTCTGCCTTCTTTGATGTGTTCTCCACACCAGAATCATTAGTTCTGTCTTGCCAGTACCACTTCTACAGGAATTTCCTGTAATAGACAAAACTGGGGGTGAGTGGTCTTTCTAAGGTGATGACACAGGAGTTTTCACACTTTCACTTTGCTCACAGCCAGAGTTGGTTGCATTACCGTGTTCAGATGCAAAGACCAGGAAGTGTAGTCTCTAGCTGGGGGACCATATACTCTGCTAAAATTCTGGATAGGGGAAGTATTCTAGAAGGAGGGGGCAATGGGTGCTGGGGACAGTTAGTGGTCTCTACTCAGATAATTAGCTGGACACTACTGGGACAGCATATTCTGTTTCAGACACTATGCAAAACCCTATAATAGAAACAGAAAGAATTCCCACTTTGGGGGGGAATGTGTGCGGCAGGACAGGTAGTCAGCAAACCCACAGAGAGACACAAAGTGCTACCAGAGTGGTTCAAAATAGACAGATTGCCCATCCATCTATTTTGACGGATGAGATGAGAAATGAAATTGTTTTGAGAGACAGGAAAGGAGAGGAGAGAGAACATTTTAGATAGAGCAAAGGGCCGGAAGGGAGATTATGGACGGCACGTGTCAGAAAAGCAAGCCCTATAGTTTCATGGAGCTACAGCATAAAGAAGGATCAGGAAATTGTGGAGAGGGAGCTGAGCACTTCGCATTTCTTTTCATTTGGATGCAAACTGGTGAAGGATTTTGAAGAGGGTCGTGATATAATCAGAGTTGGCTTCACAAAGACGATCAGCGACACAGAGTGAGTGGATGTAGGGAGAGAGTCAGTGTGGAAGACTCGATGGAAGGGCAGTTGTGAGAGTCTAAAGAAGGTTTTCTAGTGAGACAACTTAATAGGAAACAAACAAAACACCTCTGAAACCACCCTGGTTTAATATTAGCCGAATTATATGTTATTGGCATACATCTGTTGGATGTCTTCTTGTGCTCTAGGCTAGTGGCTTTCAAACTTGTCTGACCATATGCAGGAAGACATCCATTCCTTCCCCTCAGTCCAGTTTCACAAACGTGTTTCGAAACAAGGCTTTCCTAAAATGAAAATTTTAAAAATTTTTTCATAAAAAAAAAAAAAGCTTTTCATAAAGTGGTATTTTGCTACTAGAGTAGAAAATGCAGTCTGTCGTTTTTCTGCTCTCTTTTTCTTAATTCTGTTCCAAGCCTCTAAATTTATTTAGAGTTTGAGAAAGACCTCTTTAGGCACCGTGAGGAAAGCAGGAGGAGTACAACATAAGAGCTATCTGAATCGCATTTGTTAAGAGAAGGAAAATAGGCACAAACACAAACACAAGAGGAGACCGAGAAGTCCTAGAGCTTAGGAGCCAGAAGGCACCTGAGTAGCTCCTTTATCTTACTGTTCCGTGTAATTAGTGAGAAAACGAAGCTCAGAAGTATAAACTTACTTCATGGCTCATAGAAAGTTGGTGCTGCAGACCCAGAACAGGCAGACCTTCTTGGCAGTTTCTTGTTACATATTTTTTAATTAAAAAAAATAACAATAGTGAAACTGAGATTACAAAAATTGTGATACATTTTCATTTTGTCAATTTAATTTGGATTGAGAAAATCATGCTCTCTAATACACATACCAAAAATGCTATTCAGAGGTTCTGCTTATGAGATAATATTTATTTCGATACTCACAGCTGATTGTTGGTGGGGGCGGACTAGCCTGGGACACAGATTTGAAGTCATATGCTGAATGGCTTAGTTCAGTCCCGTCAGTGGGACTCAGTGGAACTGAATTACCTCTCATTTGGAGATAATATCAAAATATAAATTCGAAGCTGTTCAGCCCCTCGGGATAAACCCTGGCCAAGTGGGCCTTTCCACCCTTTTACTCCCACCTCCATCTCCGTCAAGAAAACACGGGAGTGTCTTGATTGCCGGTTTTACCCACCCTTCTACAATGTGATTAGCTCCTTAAAAGGTCCTGTGCTCTTCTGAGTCTCTATGCTGTTCTTGGATTTTCCATTTTCCCTTTTGGATTTTCCATCTAACACCTGAGGTTATGGCTTTGATGTGACTGCCAAAAAAGTACTGAACCAGATGCTTCCAGTGCCACACCTTGTCGATCTTTTTACGTACATTCTCACCTTGATTGTTTCCCAGTTAGAAAAATATTATACACTCTTTAAATTTTACCAGTTAATGATGTCAAAACTTTCCACTAAATAAACCGTATTAATGTCTTTGACCCTAACTACTCTCTGTTTTCAGTTTTTTAAGGCTTTGCTCAATAAAACCATTGATTAAAAGTACTTTACCCTTTTCCGATAGAGTTTAGAAAAAACGGACTGTGATAGTCTCATTCTTATTTGCCAGATTTAGCAACAAAGTTGGGTATTTTGTGAGATAATGGCAACAGAAATACTCTTATGTTTGATTATCTGATTTATTTAGGCTTCTAATACACTCATGTTTGATTATCTGATTTATTTAGGCTTCTAAAGAAAAATTATAAAAATCATATAACAATCACAGTTTGACATTACAATTTCTGAAGATTGTCATACAATGTTAACATTTGTCAAAAAATTTTTAGAAAGGAGAGCTACATAGTTGAAGCTATTAAATGATTTATGGTAAAATAGGTAATTTATTATATTTCTTGGCAGGCACTTCTTTCGCCAGCCTTTTGATTAGAAATTTACAGAAGCTTTTCACAAAATATAATAAGACAAGGCTCCTTACACAGTTGTTTTTGGCATTTGTGGTTTGAACAAAATTCTGTTGCATTTCTTAACAACTAAATGAATTCCACATGAAGAGAACTCTGCTCACTGTCTCTCCTCTCCCTTGAAACCCGCAGACGTCTTGCCGGAAACGCTTTGACATACATTCCCAATGGAGCATTCGCTGGCCTTTACAGTCTTAAAGTTCTGTAAGTAAACAGGGTCTTATTTATTATATTTCTTTTTTATTTGTTATATTTCAGATTTTAGTGTCAAGTGGATGCTAATTAACTCCTAAAGACTGAATCCCTCTAATAAGCTATTCAGAACCATAGGCTAATTCATTTAAATTCAAGTCCACCTTCATTGGTGCTGCAGGACCGCATTATACCTGGCTGGGTCCATGTGTGAAAAAAGTCCCTCTCTGCTGTCCTAATTTAAAATCTAAAATTGCCTCTAAAGAAGCAACTTATCAACTCAGACTTCTAAGATAGCATTTCCCCTTCCTTTTATGTAATGAAGTTGGGGACACTTCCTTGAATCATTTTGATCACCAAGTGAATAAATCATTATGATGCTGACATAATGAGACCGCAGCCTCAAACCATTTGTCAAGCTTATTTCCGTTTAATGCACTGAATAAGGATTAGCTAAAACACTACCAAGTTTATGTCCCACTTGTGAATAGAGAAAAGCCAAGTGCGTAACAGATTCAGTGAGTAGTTATTTAATTGAGAATTGTTCATTCATCGGGACTTTTAAGAGTGGTTTTCTTATTATTTAATATCCAACTTCCCAGCTGGTTCATCAGAAAACTCATTATTACTGAATACCTCCTTCTTCTAATTCTCATTGCTCAATTTTCTTTCACTTTATTCTGTGCAGGAAAAAAAAAGTCACCTAGTTAGAGAAAATAGGTAACATAAGTTGAAAGTCATACCAGGAAAATTTTATCGGAGAGAATATCCTGATTTTATTCCCTTTCTTTGAGATAAAAGTTATAAACTCTAAGAAGGCATTTGATATATTTCTCCATAATGGAAATTGCATCTTATTGACCTAAGGGATATATAGGCTCTTAGAAAAGCAGTTCTATTTAAATTGAACCTTTTGCTAAAAATCGAACTTAACAGCCAAACCATCGTTTGGTCTGCTTGGGTAGTTGAGTTTGGTCCCCCTTACCCTTAACTTGTTTTGGCTATTAGGCAGAAATATTTTTTTAAAGATTTTATTTAATTATTTGACAGAGAGGGAGAGAGATCACAAGCAGACAGACAGGCAGGCAGAGAGGGGGAAACAGGCTCCCTGCTGAGCAGAGAGCCTGATGCGGGGCTCAATTCCAGGACCCTGAGATCATGACCTGAGCCGAAGGCAGAGGCTTAACCCACTGAGCCACCCAGGCGCTCCTAGGCAGAAATATTTTTAAGTAGTCATATTACTGAATACTAATGTGAATTCATTGTGTGGTAAAATTGTGAGTTGTAGCACGAACTCTTTCATGCACCTGTATCTCCATGAACTCAGCAAAATACTTGGAACCATTTAAAATGCATCATAAATAAATCAAGTTTAGATAAGACAAGTAAGGTAATGTTTTTTCAATGTTGAGATATGTGCCACAAAGCATTTCGGATACTTGTTAAATAAATTATACTAGAATCAATTATTTTAATTCACTTAAAAATGTATTTTGGGTGTACTGAGCTACAGAGAGAGAGAAAAAAAGTGTGTGTGTGTGTGTGTGTGTGTGTGTGTGTGTGTGTGTGTGGCATTGAACAGATTATTGCTAAAAATACAAGGATCAATAAGTATGACCCATGCCCTTGAAGAGTTTATTTGTAGTGCTAGGTTGTGGGATCAGGATAGTAGGACAAAGACAAACAGATCTCTGATGCATCTAAAAAGTATGATAGAGATATTTGCAGGACACTGTGAAACTCCCGAGGGTGGGGAACATTTAGTCTGGTCTGATGGTTTAGAGTTGGCTTCCTGTAAGACATAGAAAGGGGCCTGGTCCCAGAGATCCTTTATGTCATATCAGAAATACATGGGCATGATCATGTTCTGGGCACACTGAGGAACCAGGGGAAAGTTGTAAGCATGGCAATGGCAGTTTCGGACTTGGCAGTTTAGCTAGATCGCTGTGCATGTGAAGAGGGATCTAGAGGAGCAAGACCCCTACCAGGAATTGAATTCATGCTTCCATTTACTTTGCTGACTTAAATACTAATATTCAACGAGCAAATTCAATCGTCAAATATTCTGAAAGTATTTTGGTAGGAGAATAATGGTTCTCAACCACAGTCATTCCACCTGCCACACAGTGTTTTGGAAATTTGGGGGGACATCTTTGGTTTTCCAGATGACAGGCATGAAGTAAATTGTCCTGTGATGTGCTACTCAGCCTGGTATAAAAGATTCTCCCACATCTGACCTGACTTCTGTCTGTCCCTCCAGGCCAAGTGTATATGTGCTGCCGAAGCGAGCACCAGGCCAAGTGTAAATCAATAATATTTTCACGCATAAGAATACTAAAAGGTTTTACAAGAAGTTCTGCATAAGCCTTATGATTTGTACAGGAAAAGTTAAATGGAATAAATATATTCTGTTAAAATCATTGAACAATTCAGTTTATGTATCCTTTCTATTTCAGGTATTATATGATTTCTAACCACATTTTTTTTAATTTTTAAATGTTTTTATTAACATATAATGTATTATTAGCCCCAGGGGTACAGGTCTGTGAATCACCAGGTTTACACTTCACAGCACTCATCATATCACATACCTTCCCCAATGTCCGTAACCCAACCACCCTCTCCCTACTCCCCTACCCCTGGCAACCCTGTTTGTTTTGTGAGATTAAGAGTCTCTTACGGCTTGTCTCCCTCCCAATCTCATCTTGTTTCATTTATTCCTTTCCTACCCCCCAAAGCCTCTCAACTTCCTCATATCAGGGAGATCATATGATAGTTGCTTTCTCTGATTGACTTATTTCGCTAAGCATAATACCCTCTAGTTCCATCCACATCATCACAAATGGCAAGATTTCATTTCTTTTGATGCCTGCATAGTATTCCATTGTATATATATACCACATCTTCTCTATCCATTCATCCCTTGATGGACATCTAGGTTCTTTCCATAGTTTGGCTATTGTGGACGTTGCTGCTATAAACATTTGGGTGCTCGAGCCCCTTTGGATCACTACATTTGTATCTTTAGGGTAAATACCCAGTAGTGCAATTACTGGGTCATAGGGTAGCTCTATTTCCAACTTTTTGAGGAACCTCCATGCTGTTTTCCAGAGTGTCTGCACCAGCTTGCATTCCCACCAACAGTGTAGGAGGGTTCCCCTTTCTCCACATCCTCGCCAGCATCTGTCATTCCCTGCCTTGTTAATTTTAGCCATTCTGACTGGTGTGAAGTGGTATCTCATTGTGTCTAACAACATATTTTGTTGAAAATTGTGTTAGTGCAGTAGAATTACTTCCAAAGCCCCACACACACACACACACACACACACACACACACACACACACAAAGAATTAAAGATATGGGGCACCTGGGTGGCTCAGTTGTTAAGCGTCTGCCTTTGGCTTGGGTCGAGATCCTGGGATCCTGCAATCAAGCCCTGGGTTGGGCTCCCTGCTCAGCAAGAAGCTTGCTTCTCCCTCTTCCACTCCCCCTGCTTGTATTCCTGCTCTCAGTGTCTCTTTCTCTCTGTCAAATAAATAAATAAAATCTTTAAAAAAATTAAGATATATAATTGTGGAAGCATAAGACTTCTTAAAAATAATTGCCATGAAATTAGCAGAGAAACATGAAACGTCAGGATAAGGCTCTCTTGAATTTCATTAACAAGTGTTGCTTAATAAATACTTTATATTTTGGCCTTTAAAAATTTTTGGAGAGTGGTCATAAAAATCTATCTTATGATGATTATGTAATGATTTATTTATTTGGGGGTGACCCGATGCTTTTTAATCTTGCTCTTCCATTATCCAGCAGTGTCTACCACCCGACTGCTATGAAGGCAATATTGTGCTATTTCTTTTTCCAATTTGGCTTCAATTCGCTGTTGTCTGTATGCTCTCCAGGACCTCTTGAAGTCCTGGAGAATGAATGCTTGCCTCAGCGTATGATGGAGCTTTAAGACAGGATGAGTGTTCACTGTGATACTTCAACCCTATCTTGTCCTAGGGGAGAATTATTTCAACACTACTCTTCTCTATAAGGAAGTCATTTGTGAAAATATCCATGCTCATCTGCAAGAGTATAACACTTCCTGATTTTCTCTCTTATGACGTCTAAAATTTGTCTTAGCATGTTATCTTTATTTTAATAAAGGTTGTTTCCTTCTGTCCCATATAAGTACAGTCTGTTATCTATCTTAACTCTGGTTCTTCTTTTAGTATGCATCTAGCCCTCTAATCTCATTTCCCTGTTCTTGTCCAACATAGTTTCTGATCATGGGGTTTCTCTCACGCCCAACCTTATTCATTAAAAGGAGAGGCAAACATCTGACTCGTTCATAAAGATGTCTCCTATCTGAACATCATGTGTGTAATGACACGTGTATCACTTTATTATACATTTCTTTTATTTGTCCTTCTTAATATAGTTAGGGCAGTATCTTATATTGATTTTTTTCCTTCAAAATGATGTGTGTAAATAGGCTATATTTTTATGAATGTTATCTAAATAAAAGAGATAAGGCATTATAAAATATTGGGATTAAAGGGAGAATTGGGCCCAGTAGTGTTGAGACCACAGTGCTAGAGGTAAAATGCAAAACAAGACAACCCTGTTTCTGTGTTCATGGCAACTCTTCCAAATGTTTTATAAAGTCCAAAAGCCATTGGAAGAAAGAAATAACTGATTACAGTATAGAATGGTAAGAAAGGTATTATAAAAGTTATATCCATCTGGGTCCATGACCAGCATAGAGAGGGTAAGGAGGGCATTTGACAAAAAAAAAAAAAAAAAAAAAAAAGAGAGAGAGAGACAGACAGAAGAGTAATCCAGTCCACTGAGAAAATTAAGACAGCAACAGCTTTCATTGGCTAGGACTCCATTATATCTGAAATCTTGCTACTGTGAACTCTGGAAGTTCATTAATATTTAAGATTACCCCTGTATACTGGCCTCATAAAAAAAATAATAGTAAGTTATCTGTTCTGCATTGCAAAATACCTAGTCCAGTGGAATTCTGAACCAGGCTTTCTTCAACCAAGGTTTATTTTCTCGTGTAAGCCATTCAGTCAAGGAACAGCTTCTCATCCTACCCCCCAGCACCAGAACCAAAGCCATGTGGAGGTGATGGGTAAAACTAACTGGGGAGAAGTACAAGGAGCCCAAATTCTCTCATTCCCATGTAGACTTACAACGGAGTCTCAGCAGCTACTTGATCTCTAAACACAAAACAATTAGGCAGAAGGAATACCAAAGGATCAAGCCATCAACTGTGTTGAAGTCCCCTTGTAACATATAATTTCATCTCCCAATGCTGCGCTATACCTGTTCTCAATTAGTCCTGTTGGCAAAAAAGATAACCAAACATTGTATTATTAAGAAGCTCGGGATGCTGTAGGAAATAGTGAATATTTTAAATTTTTAATACTTTAAATATATTTAGACTTTTAAATACATTTTAAAATAAATTTTAAATTTTTAAATATTTTTAATTTTTTAAATTTTTAATATTTTAAGATCAGGGAAAGAAATTAAGAAAATACGCAACCATTCTTTGTCTCTAAAGAAAATGTTTTCTTTTCTCGCCCATATGCAAATGATAAATATGAAGCTAAAATTGCCTAAACCCATATCCATGAAAATATAAGCTTTCTGCTTATATTCAATGCACTGAATAAAGGAATATTTGCAAAAGAAATCAGCAGCCGTGTTATGAATGCTTTCTGTTTTAATTGCACTCCATAGTGCTATAAACCCTTTAATTGTTTTGTCTCCCACTAGGATATCTTAAACAAAAACAGAATTTTCTAATTAACTCACTGGAGACTTATAAGGATATAATGGAGATAACTTGCTCTTGTTTTGTCATTTAAAAGTAATTAAACAGAAGTTATTTTAGGAAGAGAATCAGGACTTAAGTGATTTTTTTTAAATTATATTTTTGGTATTTTACTGGTAGAAGTAATCCAAAAATTAAATTGCCAGGAGGTAGTTCAGGAGTAGTTTAAAAATTATCATCAGCAAAGCTCACTTAAGTTCTGTTTTCTGAATGTATAAAACTTCGGAGATGTTTTAAAACTTGTATAAAGATGTATAAAACTTTGGAGACAGTTTGCAACTACTTAATGAAGGAAAACCACCTGAATATCTCTTATCCTCTACTCCAATTTTCCAATTTTTTAGGAAGTCCACATTTTTATAGTTTTGCTGTTTGGTTAGCAAAGAATAGAAAGACTATTCAATAAACACTTTGTACTGTATTACCTACAAAATTTAGACATCAATTAAGTCCATTATCTGTGTCTTACCATCATTTAAATGTGTCACTCAATTAGTGAGTGACTTAGAAAACATTTCTGTGGAGTTAAACTTATATAATATATTAAAACTATATAATATATGTTATATATATTAAAACTACTTGGAAAAACTACTTGGAAAAGTGTAAAATAATCTAGAAATGTGAAATTTTAATATTCAGGTAAATTATGAAATATGGAATTCAAGGTACAATTTTCCCAATTCCTTGACAGGTATGTGAAGTGTGAGGTCTTCCTAAAACTTGACTTTGTTCATAAAGAAGCAATACATTTGACACTCTTGATTTATGAAATGTTAGTTGAATTCAAGTTCAATAATGAAATTCTTTTGGCAAACTACTGGACTACAAGTGACATAATTCTGTTCTTTCTTTTTTTTTTTTTTTTAAAGCTCATGTTTTACTTCTTTTTTTTTTTAAGATTTTATTTATTTATTTGACAGAGAGAGATCACAAGTAGGCAGAGAGAGAGAGAGGAGGAAGCAGGCTCCCTGCCAAGCAGAGAGCCCGATGCGGGACTCAATCCCAGGACCCTGGGATCATGACCTGAGCCGAAGGCAGAGGCTTAACCCACTGAGCCACGCAGGCGCCCCCAATTCTATTCTTTCTTAAACAGAATCTCAGACATGATAAGAAAAATGTAAATTTTATGACCTTTAAGTATTTTTTTGTGTCTCATTTGTATACGAACTCACATTTCATATTTTAATCCTCAAACACCTTATCAGTCAGATGATCTTATTATATTCCCATTATACAGATAAGTGACCAAAGGTCAAAGAGATTAAATGGTTTTAAATTAAAAGACGTAAAACTTAGGCCTTATCTCCAAGCTCAATGTAACCCCAAGTTCAGATGAAAATATTCTACCAGAAATCACTTGGTCTAGCTTAGGGTAATTCTCAGTGTGTGGCATCTTGCCCTTCAGCACCAGAATCACCTGGAAGTTGGTTAGAAATGCACATTCTCTGGCTCCTACCCAGATGTACTGAACCAGAAACTTTGAGGGTGGGCCCAGCACTCCGGGTTTTAATAAGTCTCCCAGTGGATTCTGATAAACCCCGAAGTCTGAGAACCACTGGCACAGATTTTTTTTTTTTTTTGCTCATTTTATTTTGTGGTTAATTAAAATGTCACATCCAATATGATCTCATTACATTGTTAGTTTTGACAAGGAGTCTATCAATTCATAGAAAAAAGGGCTGACCTTGGTGGAATGCTTACTGTACAGCACGGATTGTTCCGTATACATTCACTCATCAGATCATCTCAGTAAGCCCTCGGGTGGGTATTATTATTGGTCACTGAGATGTGGAGAAATTGGATGATTTCCCCGAGGCCACACCGCTGGTGGCAGGGAAAAGGCAGACCGATTCGAGAACCCATACTCTTACCCACACCGTAATCATTCCGTACACTATCCAACCGAGAATCTGGACATTCAGCCAATATGCCTCAAGAGACTGCTTGCAGTGCAGTGGAGCGTACACCAAGTTCAGAGTCAGACATACACGTGGGGTTGGTTTCCCAGTGAGTCATCTCATGAAAAGAAACTTCTGCAGTGGACAGGAGAGAAACAGGCACATTTTTTTCAGAGATCCAAATGTAAAGCGGGCGACCTCCTCAGCAGAAATATTTCTGTAGAATATCTACCTTCCTAAAATAGTCTTCTGCCTCTGGCTTACATAGACCATGAAATACAGGCGGAATGGCTGCGAAATTATGGTGTTATAAACATTTATGAATAAGCTAGCAAAGTACCAGGAATCTAATGGGAATTTTTTCCCTTGCTATTTCCCTACTAACAGTGATATATTTTTATTTCATTGTTACCAGGTGTTACTGTTCCGTAGTCCTCATGTTCTGAGAACTGTTGAATCCAGGCGAGCAAAAGCGCAATACTTCACAAAAAGAATTTAATTGCTATTAAAATATGACCACACACACAAGAAGAGAGAAGATCTTTAATAGCTTCCTACTGTAGCCACATTTCCATTTTGTCTAATTTATATAGTCATCAGAGGGATCCTTTAAACCATACATAAAACAAGTGTTGGTGAAGGTGTGGGGAAAGGAGATCCCTTGTACACTGTTGGTGGGAATATCGATCAGAACAGCCTCTAGGAAAAACAGTATGGAGGTTCCTCAAAAAATTAAAAATAGAAATACCATATGTTCCAATAATCCCTCTATTGGGTATTTACCCAAAGAAAACAAAAACACTAATTTGAAAAGATATATGTATCCCTGTCTTTATTGCAGCATTATTTACCATAGCAAGATATGAAAGCAATCCAAGTGTCCATCCATAGATGAATGGATAAGGAAAATGTGTGTCTGTGTGCATGCATATGTGTATGAATATTATGCAGCATGAAAAAGATGAGATCATGCCATTTGAGACCACATGGATGGACTTAGAGAGTATTATGCTAAGTGAAATAAATCAGACTGAGAAAGACAAATGCCACATGATTCACTCATAAGTGGCATCTGAAAAAATGAACAAACAAAAAGCAGAATCAGACCTATCAATACAGAAGAAAAACTGATGGTTGCTGGAGGGAGGTGGTGGGTGGAGATGGTTAGCAAAATCAGTGAAAGGAGGTAGGAGATAGCGGCTTCCAGTTACAGGGTGAATAAGTCACAGGAATAAAAAGCAGAGCATAAGTAATAGTCAATGATACTGTAATCATGATGTATGGAAACAGTTGGTTGCTACACTTGTGATGAACATAGCATAATGTAGAAACTTGTACATCAGTAAGTTGTACCCTGAAACTAATGATACATTGTATATCAACTATACTCAAATTTTTAAAAAGGATAAAAACATAAATTAGAGCATATCATTTCCCTACATAAACCCTCCAATAGGAGTTTCTCACCACACTTAAAAAAAAGCCTCATTGTGGCCTGCAAGTCCTCCATGAGATGGCCTCAGTTTCTCTCAACCTCTTGGTCTCACTCACTCCTCTCCCATGATCCTTGGCTGCTCCTTGAACGAGTCAAACAAGCTCTGGCCTCTGGGCCTTTGCACTTACTCCTCCCTCTTCTCAGAAATTCTTCCCAGATGTCCACAGGATTTGCTCCATGACTCCATTCTAGTTTCCACTTAAGTATCACCTCCTAAGAAAGATCTTCCCTGACCACCTTTAAAATAAAAATCTCACCCCTGGTAGCCATCCATCCCAAATCCATGTTTTGTTCTTTTTTCATGGTACCTATCACTTGTCTGATGTTATAGACTCATCCATCAATTTTTACTTATCATTCACTCCACACAGGAACGTTAAGCTCCCCAAGGGCCAAGACTTGGTCTTATGCTCTGCTGTTTCTCTAATGCCTAGAACAGTGCCTGGCATGGGTATGGCCAATTATTATTCGTTATTGTGAGCCTTCTTTAACGTTTTTCTTCATTTGTTTTCATGGGCAGTATGCTGCAGAATAATCACCTGAGACAGGTACCGACGGAAGCTCTGCAGAATTTGCGAAGCCTTCAGTCCCTGTAAGTATCGCTCGTGAATGTTCTCAGGATCAGTGCGGGAAGGGGCACTGAAATGTCAAAGTGGCCACTTTAATCAGTGCCTCGTTTGGGGACCATACCTAAATAAGTTGTGAAGGAGACTTTTCATTAGAGCAACAATGCTTTGAGCCTCATAGAACAATACATGTGGGAGGGATGAGTGTTGGAGTTTGGACACTGACTCAGTTAGATATACTGGTATCACAGGACAGAATGTCCAGGATCTCGCCCTACCTTCCCCTGTAATATTTTCATTCTGGAATTCAAATCAGAGAGAATGTTTTCTCTTTTTATCTAGAAAAAGGGGTATCACAATCTAGACATCTTGGCATCTTCAGTTTATTCTGTTTTTAGATGATTTGAGCTGCCTTATAGTAAAATGTTTTCTGGGTCGAATAAAGATTTAATTTTTAAAGTTCCATATGGACATCAGGAGTCCTCAAATCCATACACCGAGATCTAACAGTATGTCTTAAAGCCTTCCTGCATAACTTCCCCATCCCCACACAGACATACAAACATACCAGCAATCCCCAGATAGACTCACACATACCTCAGATTCACACACAGACACACCCACAGACATAACACAACGGCGGTGTTATTGTTCCTTATTCTGAATACACAAGTTTTCTGTCAGGAGTTTCCACTCTACATTGATTTAGACTCTCTGAATAAATAAAAATCAGTTATTTCTCACAAAAAGAACTTTCTTACCATCTGGATGTTTTAGAGCTTGGAGTATAAGCAATTGTTTACAGTGATTATTTGTCAAGGTTATGCCACAAGCAGTTGGCTAGTAGATCTTCCTCTCATCAGAATGTATCAGTGTTTACAATCTGTTGCATGATTTCCAATATATGCATGTGTAATCTCTGCTTTTATCTTACTTACACATGTCAAGCAAAATACTGGTTTCTGGTCTAGACTGCTGAGGGAGATAAATGCATAAAAAAAACAAATAAATATTGCAGACTCTAGATGAAAAGGATTAAAAAGATTCCAATAATTGGGGCGCCTGGGTGACTCAGTCAGTTGAGCGTTGGACTCGATTTCAGCTTGGGTCATGATCTCAAGGTTGTGAGATCGAGCCCCATGTCGGGCTCCACCCTCAGAAGGGAGTCTGCTTAGGATTCTCTCTTTCTCCCTCTGCCCTTCCCCCTCTCCCTCTTTAAAAAAAAAAGAAGAAGAAGAAGAAGAAAGAATCCATCAGTTAATAATTACATATGTTTGCTTAATGCCTTTTACTGAGATGATTCAAGAGAAGGAGGAATGTGAGATTGAAGATGATACTTTCCTCCTTTGATCTTTCTTTTTTTTTAATGAAAGCAAATCTGTGCTTGAGACCATTTTAAGCTTTTTAGTCCAGTCAAACAAAGTGACTTCCTAGGTTTTCACGGGCCTATAGATAAACAAGCCCACAAGGGCCCCTTTGTGGCCTGGGACCAGTCTGTTGCATTTTCAAGGGCTCCCTAAAACCATCCGAGTATCACTCCTCCTTTGTTGCACCAGCATTTTCCTGAAGGAAAGGAGCGGTCAGAGCGGCCACACGCTCTCAAGTGGGGCCGTCTGTGTAAGGGCACAGGGTCTAGGGGCTGCATTGAAAAACAAGATAATGGCAGTGGCCAATGGGAACTTTAAACAGCTGTGAGGCAGAAGATACAAGGATAAGAGTTTGTAACCAAAAGCCACTATCAGCTGAAAGAAGATCACAAACAGAACACACACAGAAGTGAACTCTTTGAGAAAGAGAAAACCAGGAATCTTTTGTTCATTCAAACTGGGTGGTGCCTCCCTGATAAAGGTGTCCGGATTTGGTTTCTTACCGTTTCCATATTTACTGTTCACCAGGTGTCTCTTGCATGATGGTTTCTGATTCACAAAAAAGCAATTGTGTTTGAAACCTTATAAGTATGTGTTCCCTGTGAAAAAGCCAAGGGTTAACTTTCTATTATGATGGTTATCGCATCTAGATAGACCGCTCGGCCCGCAGTGCTTGCTGAATTTTATCGGGCGGCTGTGTGATGTCTGTCCCGCAGTCCCTTTGCCCAGAGCGCACAGACCCATGTGAGGTGCGGGCTACCACGCCACGTCTACTCACATTCTTTGTGCTGCTTTGATACAAGAATTAAGATTTGGCAAAAAGTATCATAGACAGCCACCAACCACACAGACACTGTATTGTACCCGACCAGGTTTGCAGGGGGGTGGGAGGGGGGCACAGCGAGCCCTTATTAAAGTTTTACTGTTGTCCCAGATCCAGAGTGTGGAATAGTCCCTCTCCTGTTTCCTTGAAGCAGATCTGAAAATGAAAGCGCCAGTTTTGAGAGGAGTGGTTATTACACACATAACATTCCTCATCCGCTCTCCATTCATTGCCCTTCGAGCTGCTTCCGAATTGATGTCAGCAACAAAGAGAGGGACAGCTGTCTCCTGCCTTCTGCCAGCAACCGGGAGGCCTCCACTCAGACCCCCGGCTCTTCTTGTGCTGCAGTCCAGCCCTTAGCCTGTCCCTCGGCCCTTCTGGTCACGGTTCCTCTTCTTTCTTTCTCTGGAAGTTACTCTGGTTCTCCTCACTTGCTCATTTTCCTTGTGTTATACCTTCATGCTCTACGGGGCGCTGGGCTGTGAGCGTATCAGCCCTGTGTGAGCGCCGCCTGGTCATTTCCAAGGGGAGCTCCTCAACCCCAACTGCAAAGAAGAACCACGGCGGGGGCGGGGGGCAGTTGGTGACTCCTGAGGCTGCACTCTCCGAGTGTTTTTCTAACTGGTGCAATTATATAACATGAAGGGCTTTTTAAAGGAGGAATGGGAAGACGGGTGTCCCCACATTCCTGCAGGTGTTGGGCAGATACTCTTCCTGAAACATTTTCAAACCTGAAATCATAACCTTATGCATTTCAGGATGAACACATGATGTCCTTAGACCATGCACTAAAAGTCAGGGGTTGCATTGTTTGTGTTTAATTGAAATAGCTCACATCTGCCTATTAATTCTACCGACAGACTGCGGCCAATAAAGATAGGAGGCCACATACTGTGTATTACACCCCCCATTCGAACGCGTTGATCATAGCACGGGCACCTCCAAGATCCACAGAGCGGTGGCCCCCTCTCAGTCTTACTTACTCAAAAACTTCATTTTAACAGAATCCTCCAGGGACTGGTGTGGCCACTGCTTTTTGAGAAATGAACATTTTTGTTGTTCTGACACTAACAAGTGGTCTACAAACCAAAACCAGCTGATAACGACCCAAGTAGATCTTTGGTATGCTTTGCTTCACTGTATCAAGTCAGCTGCATTGAAGATAGTTTAAGAAACCTGACAGGCTAAAATTGGTAACATTGCTGAGCAAGAAACAAATTGGACTCATGTTTCAGGAGATGTAGTTTTCATTTCTTTTACCTAAACAAAATTATTTGGCTTTGTTCATAACGAAAACACATAGGTACGTTTGTGTTCTTGTAACTCTGTCCTGATGCTTGCAAATTGCTTGCATAAAGAACAAGAGGTCAAGCCCACGTGCCAGAACTCAGTAGCCTAGAGCTCAGCTCGCCCCTGTACAGTATGGCCATTTCCCTTGGACATGGTAACGACTACCCAGACACCAGTTGGCTTTTTTGTAATGTAATCAAATATAACTTAATTTCCTTTCTGTTTTTTTGGAAGGGAATAGGAAATGTAATCAGAATTCACAATGAGTTGTATTTCACCAAGAAACTTTGGGCATAATAGTCATTTGAGGACCAGGTTCAGATTACAGTGATTTGATGGAAACTCAAACCTTAACCCTCCCATGCCCTCACACCTTTGTATTTGTAGTTAAGAAATCGGTCTTGGGGGGAAAAAATCACTGCTTCATTTGTGGACAGTCCTTAATGACGTTCATTCATCTCCCTGTCATCAAGTCCAAGATGATCAAAGAGAATGTCGTATTCATGTTTGTCCTGTATTGCATTTAATACATGTTAGTTTTCATTCCAGGTTTGCACTAGAGAAACTAATTGGGTTGGTACATAGGAAATAAGAGATTTAGACATATCTTTAGTATTGTCTCTATTCTCCAATCAGCTGATGTTCATCTTCAGAGTGTAAGACGTTATTTTAAAACCAAAGAAGAAAAACTCCTGCCTGGAACAGGATCTGCTCCAGCATCTCCTGGTGATCGTACCTTCAGGGCTCCCCACTCCATCCCTGAACCCTTTGAAATGTTAATAACTTCCCCCACTCTTTTGGCTTATAACAGTGGGGTTTTGCTTATAACAGTCCTAAAACAGAATAAGCCAGAGGAGGAGACGAGGAGACAGAGGAAGAGGGGGAAGAGGGGGCGCTCACCGCACTGAGCCAAAAGTCAGGCAAGCCTAGAACTAGCCACATTTTTCTCCCAATACACAGGAGCCTATTCGGTTTCAGACCCTGGATAAAGAATGGGAAGGAAGTAACAAAAGACAAGGTGGTGTCTGCAGACAAAAAAAGCAGAGTGAGGTAACCAAGAGGCTAAGTTTAAAAGATCAAAGAGGTTTAAAAAAAATGGTTTTAGTATTAGTGACATTATTCCTTCCACTAAAATAGTCTCCAGAAAGAGAAATGACAAGCATACACGATAAAAATGCATGTCCAATAAATAAAAATTTGATTTAGTTTTGCACCAAATGCCAGCGTATCGGGTCGGTCTTGGGATGGGGGTGGACTTAGACGTTCTAGAGGCTAAGTGTTTTGCTGTAGCAGTCTTGGGCGTTCACTTCATAGAACCATGTGCAAACCTGCACCCAATGAATTCTTATGAAAATTTCATTGTCTCCCTCCCCCCATTTAAACAGGAGATGAAAACTATTTTTAAAGATAAAGCCCTTGCCATGAAATATTTATAGCCAGTCAGAACACAGTCCTCAGAATCATATATGAAAAAAATGTGAATACTTAATGCAAGACCCCATGCACGAGGCTTTCTTACATCAGGTTACCCTCCAGCGCCCTGATC